ACGTTTCTTGAATGAAGAGATGCAATGGGCCACACACACACGGCGAGATAAGGTATCTGTTGTTGTCAGGGTTTGCCAAGTTCCTATGCTCTGACTTCAAAAAAACATACAAGCTTTGAAACCATGACAACATACATGTATTAGAGCACCTGATTTCAGAAGTGCTGCTGGATGCTCCCACCACAAAGACGAGTCGAGTCTTACATCTTCTGCCTGGAGTCCAAGGCAAGGGTTCACAAAGCAAGAGCAAGCAAACATCACAGTCCAACCCCACTGCCCCGCACAGACTGCAGTGAACCAAGGTGCTTCAGAGCACCCTGTCCAAAGCATCTCCTCACAGACCCCCTCCTGCCCTGCTCCCAGACGTACAGCTCTTGCTGCTGAAGTCACTGCATGCTCTGTGCCATACGTTAGCCAGCTACAAACAGGCTGAATCTCCTTTTTCGTTAATGAAGGAATGTTCTTTCTCAGAGGATAAAGCAAGGGAACTGACAGTTAGCAGTTAACAGTTGCATTTGTCCCCAGTCTTTCAGCTCTGATCGACCACTGCAGGACTTTTATCTTTTTTTTTGACTTCTGGCTGTCTTACAGAAAACCATAAACATCAGTTTTGCCCATGGGAGAGTCCATTCCAGAAACGGTATGTTCTGGCACTGTCAATGTACTCGGCAGATATAATATGCACTTTAAGGGCTTTCCTAACTTCAGTGAATTTCAGAGCAGCAATTATCTTCAATTACTCCAGATGAAAGACTGCACAAAACATTAATTCAAATCCCCCTTCTCCTAGAAGCCCCCCGCTATCCCTAGTCGCTACTGCCCTACTTTTTCTCTCAACAGTGACCAAAAGGTTGGACCTACTCTTCCTTGATGCTCTTGTTTCCTGATGTGATTGCTCCCTTTGTCATAGCTTCTTTTCCACGTACATTATAAAAAATCCTGTCTCACTTATTGCTAGTCTAGAGGAAAGCACTGCCTGCTCCACACAGACACACTTGCTGCTTCTTACCTAATTTCTCCCACTACTTCAATCAGAACAGAAGGAAAAACAGACCAACATCTGGGCATTTGCACCCGCAATTAGAAGCAGTATAAGCTGCTCCGTTGGATCCAGCTGTTTCTATTGTGCTGCAGGACACGAAGCAGTCAGTATCACCTGAAAGCAAGGTGTGTCAGAAGGGTTTTATTACTGAATAAATTAATGGGATATATATCAGCACTGCCTTGATTTCTAGCAGCTATGAAGAGCTTGTATTAAAGTTACTAGTGCTCTTAAGGTCAGGATATTAAACACAAATTAGTAAAATACTCAGCTGCAGCGATGAAACAAGGCTGAAACAACTCTAAGCTACAGAGCAATGGCTTCGTAATTCAGATGCATTTAAAGGAAACGTTAGACTCAAAACGAAAACTAAGATCAACAATACATTGAATTGTTTAAATCACAAATAAGATAGCTCGTCACCAAAGCTGAAACCTGTTCGCAAGCTGAATAGCCAAGGTCACGCACAGCACCACACAGCAGCGTATAAGAAAACAAAACTAGCACATCTCTGCGACGCACGCATGATGAACTAGAAGAACTACTGGTGGGAGGAAACGAGAGTAGGAAGGAGACTTAAATATGTAAACTTTTTCTGAGAAACATGCCCAGCAGTGTGCCAGAAGTCCAAAATACCAATATTCACTAGAAATGCAAAATCACCTCCTAGCAAGTCCAGTACAAGCCTTCTGTCCTCTTCAAGGAGGACTACGCTCTATATCCCTTCATAAACTGTCAAGCTCCCACCTGCAAGCTTCAGAGATTTCACAGTTCCATTCTTTTAATGATTTTTTTCTTCCAGTTTGCTGCATAAAATCCATAGTTTTGGCTGCTTCACCCTATAGAGGGCTGAGTTTTACAGCTATTTGTCAAAATAGCAGTAACAGTTTTGTTTCTACAATAATGATAATCCTTGCCCTAAAGAACTTAGATTTGAAGAGGCACATCTCATCTGTGACTCCTTTGACCTGTGTCAAGTAAGGCAAAAGCTACAAGCCTGGTCACAGGAGCCTAAAAATCCACCATGGGCTGCAAACTGCACCTGAAGCAGCAGCCTGGGTGCATCAGACAAAGCTCCCCAGGGCCTGGGGAGCTTCAATTCTCCTCAAGCTTGCACATACTGCTGCTGCCTCTTTTCTGGGGTGAGATGAAGCAGGAAGTCCAAAGAATCGTGGTGTCAATTCCTTTACTGTATTTGCTGAAAAGCTCCTGACGGCAGGAAAATCTTTACAAGTCTTGAAACGGGCAATAATCAGTGCCACTAATGAAGTGGTATAAGAGGCACCGCAGAGAGCAGTGAAGTGACAGAAACACAGGAAGGGGGGGAAAAAAAGGGTTTTGAGACAGACTGCTGCGAGCAGAAAAAAAACACAGAGCCAGGCCTGGAGATGCATTTGGGCACACCACCAGAGCCAGAGCCAGGAAAGATGAGCAGCACAGCGAAGACATTGTGGGATCCTAAAATCAAAGAAAGGGGGCAGTGACAGTCATGGAGATGAGTAAAACGACTTTGGGCACAGAGCCCACCGCAGAACAGTGCAGGGAAAAAAGCCACCCGCGCTGAAGTCTGGCAGGGCATTCCACGTCCAAGATGCTAAAAACGAAACCAAAGAGCTGGGGGGTGACTGAAAAGACCTGAGCTCCTCATCGGTGCTACCACTTGAGACTCTCCAGAATAGGAAGTGCAGGAAGCGAAAAAGAAGTTTGAGGTTTGGGTTTTCTGAAGCCAAGGCCGTTTTATTTGCAGAGCCTCGTGTTGTCGTTGCTTCCCTTTCAATGGGAACTGTGAAGAATGTGGTGGCTGTGCCCCAGCAGAGCAGGCACAGATAAACTTTTTGCTCCATCAGAAGCTCACTGAAATACGCTTTGCAATTCACTTACAGTGGCCTGTTACTTGATGTTCATGAATGTACAAGACATGGAAAATGTCGCTTTTACACCAAGCTTTCCTAAAACAACTGTTATGACAGCTGTGTTATTTCACACAGCTATTGCTTTATCTTAAATAAAATACCAGGCACATTTAATCTAGTTGTCTGGGCAATGAGAGGATCAGATCAAAAAAAAAAGAAAAGATGACAGGTTTTTAAATTGAAAAGCCTCAACTAAATGAGAGTGGACCCATTCCTTGCAGAAGCAGCGTGCTTTCGTCACTGAAGCTCTCCCCTCTCTCCAAAACAGCTGAACCTTAGCATCTCACACTCCTGGGTTACTTCTGAACATCTCGCAGTTTATACATTTCATACAAACCAATTTTAAGCGATTCATGGCACTTGGGAGAGCCCAACACTAGGGATAATTTAACAGAAGCTGATGAAAAAAACCTGATTTTAAGAAAAGCCCAATCTAATTCTGTCACATAGCATTCCTAGTGCAATTCTGCGCTATTATTAGCTATTTCAAGCCAAAACTTGATCATATTGAATTTCGGAGGTCTTTATGCTGACCTTCAGTAAGTTATCAAATGCCACATGGTACAGGCATTCACACCAGAAGTTATTTCAATTCAGAATGTGTAAAGATTTTATGCTGCTAAAAACGGTGGAAAAAGTTACTGACTCCTTACAAATGGCTAACCACGATGCTGGTAATACATAAACTAGTTTCAGGTCTATAAGCAGGGAACATGGAGAGTCACTGTTAGCTCAGAAAGTCTTTACGCACAAAAGATATGAATGAATTACCGCAGCTGGAAACCTCTTTCCCCTTCGTCAGAGGTTCTCCCGTCACTGAACTGTGAACCGAAACAAAGCAACAGCTTTTGAGGGCAGAAATTCAGTGTCAAAAGTCTAACACAAGTCTTTGCCAGCGAAAGAGCTGGTCAGCAGCAGTATCTGTTGTCATCCGTGACCACAGCTCCTCTGTCATGCGGGCAGAAGAATCCCTCTCTTTATCACATCTCATAAAAGCACAAAGCAATAGTTGCATAGAAGTCATAAACGTTTGTGTAAAAAGACAAACTGTTCACCCTCTCTTCTGCTCTCAACTTCTCCCTTATTTCTAAGGTAGACTCACCAGCGTTTTCCCTGGTACTAGAGGAGAAACTGCAGCTCAAGCCCAGCAGGTGTTTTCCATCAGACAGTCTGTAAACACCCAAGACTCACTTCAAAGACCCCAGCACACCCAGGCAGTAGAAGCCCCCCCTCCCCAGCAGGAGCTGCCAGCCCCCAGCATCCAGCAGGAACAGCAGAAGGAAACTCTGCCACAAGCAGGTCGGGGACTTTCTCAGTTTTTCCCCCAAGATGCCAAATTCACAGCCACGTCAGTGTGGGCAGACCCTGAGTTTTGGTGTAAGAGTGGTGGTTTGTCTCTGCTGAAGTCAAGGACCCGCTGGGCAGGCATCTGCAGGATGGGGCTGCCAGTGAGTCCCCCCAGCAGCAGTGGACATGGGCTACCGGCAGGCAAGGTGACAGTGCCAGCCACCATGAGACATCTCTACCGCAGCTGTAGTTTGGGAAAAAACTGTCACTGCCAGGGCAAACATCTGTCAGCCTTGCACATTTCAACTGCAGTAAGAAACACAATAATTGTACCATCTATTTTCCGCAGTGACACCATGACATACACAACTAAATATGATAAAAGAGGCTTGGACAGTCAAGACTGCAGGGACCTGTGGCCATTTTGATATAAGCTTATTCCCTTTCTGGCTAAATAAACATACCCATTATGAACGACCAATGTTCCTCTTCCCACCCCAATGTGCCTAATGTCAGGCTTCATTTCCCTCCCTACTGTTGCACTTCTGTATTTGCAGAGGTCTTTCCCAGGACGGCACTTGTAGGAAAAAAAGAGTGCAGAAACTGCACAGTTGGCTGATCAAGTTGCAAAGGGAGGTGAGCTCTGGAGAAACTGCTGCACAGCCGTACAACAGCAATCCCCTGCTGCCAGCCTCTCCTACCCTCTCCTCTACCTCCCCCCAAAACACACAGCTCATTCTCCGCACCCTCATCCTTACCTCGTAGGACCATACACACTGCACTCCTGCAAACCTCCGTACGCATCTGCCTACTTCCACGTCCTCATGGGTGGTGTACATCTCTCGCAGGCACTCGCCAATGTGGGGCACCATTCTCCGCAGGACTTCCCGGCTCATGATCACTCCTGGTCCCCCCATGCAGAAGTTCTCGCCTGGCTCCAGCGCCAGCTTCCCCATCTCCTCTGTGGTGCCGAGGCCGGTCTGCCCAAGAAAGAGGGGCTCGCTGCTGTTCAAACTCCTCAGGAAGTTCTCCAGTTTGTCTCCTTTGATGTAAACGTCGTCATCAGCTCTCATAAACCATTCGTATTTGTCCAAGTAGTGGTCATGCATGTATTTGAGCATCATGAAAGATTTCTTCTGGGGTGGGTAAGAGTCATCTACACCTGGAAGCGGCACGATGGGGATGGGAATAGAGGTGTCCGAACCCTCACTGGAGAAGAATTCAACCTTGCCAGGAATGGTTTTGGACCACGTTCTAGATTGAAAAAGACAATAAGGACTAATTAAGTATGCAAACCAAGGCAGACAGAGAATGCTACCAGAGAGCACTCAAAGGAACTACATCTCATCTACTTGACAAATTTTCTTTCTCAATGCCTTGAAGGGTTTTCTTTTCCACGCAAATGAGGATATTCACAGAGCACACAGATCAACTGGTATTACACACAAAAAAATCCGATACAGCAAGCATCTGAATATCATTTTTGCATTTCTATCTGATAGAAAAATAATCCAATAGTAGTATTTCACTAGTGGCAGCCAGGATTTCTTAAGCACACTTGGTACTGGTCTAACAGCTATTGGTCACAAGATACAGAGCGAAGCCAAAGGGAGCCAAGACGGTCAAACAATTCACATACAACTGGATTTAATGCCTCCAAAGCTTCCCTGCAAGTTATTCAGCATCATATCCACCTTCCATTCTCTCTTAGCCCCCCAAAAGCTCAAATGTGCATTCAGAAGTACTGACTTCCAGAGAGTAAATAGATGCAAATTTCACATGAACTTGTGAGGAACCAGTATCCTGTGGAAAACCAACCAAACAGCAACTTCTCCAGATGCTATGTGGAGAAGCATGTAGGGCTTTGACAGAAGTAAAACGCCCCTGCCTGTCTGCAACAGCCAGAGAAGCACAAAGCATGGCAGTAACAGTAACCTCCAATCTTGGTCTGCTCATACCAGCAAAGGACCAGTAGAAAAGTCGTCCTGAGAGATGCATGCAAAATATGTCATCCCAACAGATGACCTGGTGCTACCAACACTCGCACCTCCAGCAGCTTTCCGCACACTTCAGACCAGATTTTAGTAGAGAGGAACATCACAAAAGAGGAGCCTTTTCTGTGCGAAGCAGCACAGCAATGACATCTGCTCCACACCTTCCATGCTCCTCTCTGCCAAATCCAACTCATCTGCGTGGGCAAACTGGGTCACTTATTCTGCAGGAAGAGATGTAGGATGATTCCTCAAGGCAGACTGCAGAACACTTAACCTCCGAGGAGGAGGATTTTCAATCACGTAACTGTTACAGCCTTGCCCTAAAAATTACAAATTTTAAGCTTTCAGTACCATTTTCTCAAATTCTATCTGGGAAAAAGCAGAGTTCATGTATCCTTCACAGAAACACACAGAAAACTATTTTCATTGGTAGATCAACAGGTTTTGCCCCTTTTTGTACACGGGAAAATATCTTCCAATTATGTTTGGCAGCTATGCTCAGAATATAACCTATATTCAAAGCTGAATGTGAAAAGACTCTCAAGGTGAAGGACACAGTATTCCCTCAATGTATCACTGTCACTTTTACCAGGTGCCTCTCAACATAGGTTTCTTGCCAAAAGCAGTGCAGATTTTGTGCAGTGCAGACCATTCGAAATTTGAAATCTCCAGAATTAACTACCATACAAAGTCTGAAACGTAAAAATATTTCAGAAGAATTATTCTTTAAGTTCCACCAGGAAATGCAAAGGTATTTAATTACTACTAATTAAACATCAACTTTGATACCTTAACAGTTACACACTAATTCAGCTTTGTGTAATGAATATCACCCAATTACTTTAAAAGCTTTGTCTTCTGGATTTCTTACTGCCATGGGTAGTGTTTCATCGGAAAAGTTTTGATCCCAGCTTCCCAGAAGAGCACAGAGTAAAGCCAGTGGAAACATTCCTGTTGACTTCACAACAGAGGTGATAAAGCCTTTAATCTGATGCAACTAATGCACGGTACTACTGGTTATAAAGTCACATCCTGTTAAAGCATCAAAAACTGCCCCTTTTAAAATGAGACATGCTCATAGGTTGAACTTTCACTAACTATTAAGGAAGTTCCGCTGTTTATTTTCTAACAACCACACTTGGCATACAAATCATCTGCTCTTGAATGAAGACACTACACGGTACACTGCTCTTCCCATATCAACTCCCAGTCTAAGTTTAAAAGATTTCTTCATTAAAGGTACTTGATGCATTCAAATTTTAATCTCATGGAAAGAAAAGACAGAAGAAGCTACTGAGAAATGCAGTTCATCTCATCCACTGTGACCAGGGCCCAATGCAGCTTTGGGTGGACGAAGGACACTTTCCAGACAATCATCACCAGGTGAAGTTATAAGCTAAAGTCTTACGGAAATTTCTGCTGATTGACTTTTTTTACACGAAAGCAAACAATGAATTTCCAGACTTGCTCTCAACAACCTGAAAGATCTGCCTTTGTAATGACTACAAACTATGGACAACTAGGATGTCTTCTATCACCCCAAACTTCAGCTCCTTTCCAGACTCTTGAGGAGCAGCCTTCAACTTTTTTTTTTTTCTTTTAAAACACCACCACCCCTTCTGTTGGTTCTCAGTTTAAATCTACTCCCTGCTCCAACTAGGCATCCTCACCTCAGGACCCCCCTAAGTCTTGTCAAGAGAAGAGCTCCCATTCAATGGAGAGGGAACAAAATGCATGTACATCCATAAACCCTGGCATGTTTGATTCCCAGTTCTCATATCGCATTAAGTCCCTCAGCTCAAAGCGACTTTGACCCCATCTTTTCACGGACCTGGGCCATATTTAAGTTTCATACTAAACCAGGAGTAAACCAGAGACATATTCCTGCATATATGGGGGGCACAACATGCACAGAAAGACCGTGCCCTAACGATAACCACGCCCCAAGGTTCAGTGTGTGACTTGGGTCAGCACCGCATTACTCCAGCCTTGGGATCTCACGTCGACTGTGCCCCAGCACAGCTTGACTAAGCCTTTGTTCATTTCCTGCGACAACGCCATTTCAAGGATGAGACAACTCGCCGTGTTATTTGTGACTGCGGCTTTGAGCGTTTGTTCGAACTCAGACAGATGAAATATGCTCCCACATCGAAAAACTGCCTGAGTGTCTGTGTCAACGCAAGCACTGCTCAGCAGAGGCTGAAACAATGGGAGTCACCATGTGCTGCTCCTTACGTCTAAGCCACAGCTCACTGCTTGATGCAGCCCTTTTTTGGGGAGAGAATACAGAAAGAACAGTTTGCTCAGGAAACATGTTATTGCACTCGGCCAAAGAAGCCAAACCACAGACTGTAGGATGAACCGTAAGTACATTTTTCTGACCCCAGCTATTAGCAGGACTAAGGACTGGTAAATGCACAGATGAACTCTGATCAAATCTACTTTTATCTCTTTTATCTGACATTTCAAAGAATCAGACCCGGCCCAATCACAAGCGATTCTGCAGATCAGTGTGTTAACAGCTACGTTTCTTGTCTGTCCTCCCACCTCCAGTCCAGTTTACCGTGTCTGCTCTCAGGTTATGGGCAGCAACCTGACCCCTTCAGCTCCTCCGGCACAGAGCTCTTGTCTTGTTTCAACACCTTCCTACTTTTGTGGCCCCACCAGCACCCACTCCCACCGGCTGACATTGCTTTCTAGTCAAAGCTTCCCTACTATAAGACTCACAGATTGTATCTGCAAATGAATCGTACGTTTGATAATAAAAAAACCAAGGGGAAGTATTTTTAGCAAAACTTGACACCGTCCTTCCCCCAACAAGGGCTCCCCATCACCCTCAGCTGTTTAAAGGAAATGCGATCACAACATTTCTGCCATCCATCAGACTCCTGTATCTACACCTGCAGAGACCACTGGCACTGCTGCGATCGCTGGTGGCATTGGCCAGCTTGAGGCCATTTCGATTCTGCCCAGAGAGAAGTATCAGGTTCTGAATACAACCGATACGTCTACTGAACCGGTCATTTAAAAACCCAGCAACTGAACTGCTCTGACAGATCCCAACCTTATCTCCTCCGTGTAATCTGAATCTGCTCGGTTAAACAGGAGGATGTGCATGAATCAGGACAGCAAGGCTCTTCATTACCTTCCCCAGGAGCAGCGCTGAGAACATGCACAGCGGTGTGCGAGCTGGTTTCTCTTGGTGCACAGGGCATATAACTCCAACAAACTAGAAACTAGCATTGACAAGGGAATCAACGTGCAATTTAAACAAACATAAACATAGAAAAATTAGGTAACGCTTCCTTAGAAGAAACCTCTTAGCAGAAGACATTAGAACTGCTCCAGTATTGGTGGCTACCAAGCCAATTTTACAAACCCTTAACTGGTTTTGCGTGCTGGATATCCTATGTGTACCCTAACCTGAGCAAGTCACAAGAAAACTGGGTACAAAGATTTTGTCACAGCTGGTACAGGTATTCATGCAATACAGAAAACTCGGTGCACAAAGAGAGTGCTAAAAAACCCCAGTCTTGTCCAAAAAGTGATCACTATTATAGTCACTAAATGTTGTCATAAGTAATTTCTTTATTTAAAAAAAAGTTTAAAAAGCATAGCTTGGACCAGGAGGAGCATAGATCTGGAATGTTTCATCTTCAGTTTCCAATGTTTATTATTTATTTGTATTACCTTGCCTTGTTATCAGCTCTGCAGGCTCAGCA